TTTTTTTTTTTTTTTTTTTTTTTTTTTTTTTTTTTTTTTTTTTTTTTTTTTTTTTAGGTGGCCATTATATCTCATAAAGTTCCTCACAGATTTTGATCCAAATTGCAGGATAAGGAGTAATTAAGGAGAGATGGAAGTCATAACAATTTCAAGCCAATCCAAACACCTACTTTTTCAAAACTATTTCTTACCACCTCTTCTTTGGTGGAGTTCTCCTATTTATAAAGCATATTTCATTTGCTAAGAGTAAATTTGTGACTATTTACCTCCAACTTAACTCAATTCAGAGCACTCTTAAATATTATTTATTTTGCAGATAGGTGAGAAAATAATGGCATGTTATAAATTTATAACAGATAGAACCAAAACATGGATGACTACTAGTGGTCAGAATTAGCAGTGGAGATGACTGTGCTCATTTTAGATATTTATAAACACTGAAAGCAGGTTATTTTTACCAAGTGCAGGAGCACTAAATTATATCAGCCACATTGAAGGTCATTTTATATTGTCCGTTTTCTGATAACCTAATTATGGACAGGCCAAGTGATTGTTTGACATGGTTTAGATCTTGGTGAGATACTGACACATCTGTTGTGTAGTGAGATGCACAAAATTTCCCAGGGTTTTTCTGTTTACCTGTCTGTTACTGTTAATATCAGGGTATGTTGTTGTTGATTTATTATCCTGTGATGTCATTGGCTTTGCTGGGTTAAATATGTATCAAGATTTGTTAGAATAATGCAGAGCTGAAACTTCAAAGTGCAGAACATCTGCAGTATTTGAGAATTTAAATAGCCAAAAAAAGTCAATAAAACTTAGATAAGTGGTTTTGCGGTTCTGGGTTAATCTCTTTAGAAGACCAGACGCGATTATGGTGTTACAGATACCATCCAATTGGGTCGCAGCAGTAAGCCACACCCCTTGTGTCTCAACCAATCACAGTGTAGCTCTGTGCCCTGCCTTCTGGCCTGACATGTCATGTGACTGACCTGAATGGCTAATCAATTTACAACTTGACAGCATCGGGGTACCCTCAGCGGTTCACTTTAGTAATATAGGACGACTAGGCGGTTAAAGAACTGGCATTTTTTTTAACATTTCAAAGACAGAATGGAGATACATGTGCTTGTGTGAGACTTTAAGGTAAGATATGAAGATTGTTGTGTTGTGTTATTAAAAAGTGTTTTCTATACAGCTATTAAGATAGATGATAGAGGTATACTGAATGTTTATTGTGAAGGAAAGGCTTACTAGTACATTTTTAAAGAGCCAGTAATATGGGTCAGGGCACCTGCTCTTGTGTGCAGAGATGGAAGGCAATGGGGATTTATTAGACTGTGAATAAAAAATATATACCATACTGCTAGTGAAGGTATATAGCACTACTATTGAATTTCGTGGCTGGATGTATGTGGGGATTCCCAAACATCATATGGAATTTTGAGTTGTGGAATTCTCTGAGACCATTTCAGACTCTATCGTACTAACTGTGGATCGATCTATCTCCAAGAAGTCTTGCTTAATTGCACTCAACTTAAGTGACTTAGATGTCTGTCATGCCTAATGAAGCTGCTAGGCGGTAATTAGTTATCGTTTAGCAGATTAAGTACTAGTAGGCGTGCAAGACATCTAAGGCACTTAAGCTGAAAGCAATTTATTGAGAAACCCCTTGGGGATGGATTGATCCTGTTAGATCGATCTAGGTATGGGAACCCAGTCTGTGTCTCACTCATTGAAATTACTAGAGTTAGAAAGTCATTGGAAATTCAAACTCTGTCCACCTTGTTGATCTCAGGATGATATGGGAGCGTTCTTCCAGTTTAACTGACATTCTGTACGTTAGCATAAAAAATAATAAAAAAAATGTAATAAAAATCTTTTGTCATATTGCCATATGCACTTCCATTATGTGGAGTCTGTCTAGCTGTTTTTAGGGCACGGTCTCTTAGAACTTGAGATGTGCAGACAGTAGGAGATTATAGACAGACAGCCAGCTTGAATTAGCTTGCATTAATGTATATTTCATAACATGAGGCCAAATCATTATAAATATGATTATTCCCAGACCCGCCTCTCTCTCTCTCTCTCTCTCTCTCGTTTTGCTTATATTGATTCTCAATGAGCAGAAATCAGAATTATACATTATTCTACAGATCAGATATCAGAAATAACATTTTCCTCCACCCATTTTGCCTCAGCATGCGTTCCTAATGCTAATATTATCAGAAGCTTGAAGCCAAAAGAGAGTGGTTGTTTGGATATTGTTTCGTAATGCAAGCTGTTTTTCTAATGGGCTCCTGCACAGCGCACTTGTTGACTGAAAAAGCAATTATGATTGTCATGAGTAGATATCCTATACTAAAGTACAAGTATGGTTCCATTCAGATGTGTTGAGAAACAAAGTTGGGGGAAATTTTCGGACTTGTGTCAATCCCTGCAGGCTTCACAGTTTAAGTTGAATGCACTACCCCATGCAAATGGCATTGTCTTGATATGAGTGAGGTTAGAAAAAGTTCAGCTTGAATACATTACCCCATGCAGAGAAACTATGGCCTCAACATGAGTAAATACTAGTAGTAGCTGGGGTAGCGCTAGCAATTTTTTTCGCTTCGCCAAATCACCACATTTTTGTCAATTTGTTACCAAAATGGTTATAATTTGGCTAAAACATGTCAAATCAAGCCCTTTTTCTATAGCCAATTTAAGTCAATTTTAGCATTTGGCTAAATTGGCAAGTGTTAGCGCTACCCCAGAGTAGTAGTAGTAGCCAGCAGCTTGCACTTGCTTTCTTATGGTTGCCTATAGTAACCATCTTTTGATTATTTGCACGGGGTCTTTTTTTTATGGTGTATTGCAATCAATTTTTGGGCCATCTCATGTTATTTGATAACATAGAGCACATTTCAGAATGTGCATTTGCTCACGTGAGATGAAACGTGAGGAAGTGCTTGAAATACTGCAGGACTTGCTTGTATACTGTGTCCTGTTCAAGGTCAATTCTTTTGGAATTTTCCACATTCATTCAACACAATGTAGACTGTGTCTGTGTGCTATAGACATACAATAAAAAAAGGAAACTGAAAGATTTTGACCTGTCTGTAAGGTTTGTTCTGTATGGAAAAGATAAAAATTGTGGTAAAGAAAATACCCAGTGTATTGCAAAAAGTGCTCGTTTTGTTTGCTTTGTATGTAAAAATCAGGAAAAGGGCAAACACCTTCAGTGGTGAAAAGATTTTTGGTACCGTACAAAAAAATCAAAGTAAGCTTTGTAGGCATTTGTGTAACTGCAGTGTTAAATAAACATTAAGAGCAAAGGAAAATCCCCTCGTTTTAGGACGTGTAAGTTAAAGTGGTCACCTTGAAGCAGGAGCAACTTTTTTTCATTTTCTTCTCAATAAATTTGTTTAAAGGACTTATGCTTTAGAGTAATTTTCCCTTTTTGAATATTTTGACTCAAAAGTAGTCCTCCTCTTCCTCCTCTCTCACTCCTCTCCCAGTGATTGTGCATGACAAATGCTCCTTTGCTTTTCCATGCTTTAAAAATTTGAGATGTAACAACAGCTGAGGTTAGTTTATTCCAAGTTAAAAAATTCTCAATTTGAAATTCATGTTTTTCTGGTCTCTCCATATACTTGCTGGCTTCACCAACATTTCACCACCACATTGGTGTGTTTTTGTCCATAGTTAATCTAGGCGCAATTACTCAATAGGAAACGTGTCATTATCTCCCAAATTGCATCCACTGACAATGAAATTGTCAATCAGTGACCTTGTGACCTAGATAATTGGTGAGCTATTAACCCCTGGATGACCTAGTTTCCAGATTGATGCTGCAAGGCATATACAGATCTGATTGTAGTCATGTGGAAGATGCATTTTAGCATTGCCTATATTTTTTAGGCAACAAAAAAATTTATCTCTTTACTGAAAGCATTATTTTCCAACACGCCAGGTTGATTGTTGTTTAAATTGTTGAAAAGGATTATGTACATTAAAAAATTCTTGAAAAAAGAAGAGCCATTTTCCCAATTCAGGAATCGTAGCTTAGCCCATACTTGAACTGAAATTCAATGTTTTACAACATTTCCAATTAATATGTTTAGCTCTTAATGACTGGCCAGTCTCTTAGACTGCCATTGTTTTTTTATGTACATTACAGAAAATAAAAAAATGGACATCAAATACTTTTTCTGAATGAAGAAAAATAAGTAACTTTGCAGGATATGAACTAGACATAGAGAAAAAGTGACGTAGGAACATTTTCAGATGGGGATTAGTGTTAATATGTATATATAGTGTTAATGTTAAACCGGGTCTCTCACCTTAACTCAGGTTCTGATCTATTAACACCTGTTTCCTTGTCTGACACCTGTTTGGGACTCCCAAGCTGTGCAGGGAAAAGTTAACGAAAAAAAGCGCATACCGTCTTTTAGCAAGCTGTTCTTCTGCTGGTATGAGTAATTGGTGATATGATAACTGATTTGCATGGAACTGAGTTCTAAGTAATTTTGAAAGGGGTGTAGTCCAATTATTTGCAGAGATAGTAGGATACAGTGGGGATTATATAGTGTATGTAAATCATCTGTTTACCAGTATGTTCTACTTTATTGTGATGTGAATGCATTGGATAAATAAAATATAAAAATGCAATATATATATTAACAAAAAGATGATTTGTATTACAAATCAATTTAGAAGCAATTACTAGTCAAGTGATCCGTACCCTGTTAGCTGTACAGAGATAAGGGCATCAGGTAAGGCATATATATTTACCTCACCTGTGTCCTCTGCTGATGGTTTGCCCTTTGTGGCAATAACATATGGTAAGGTTAAGAATAATATGTAGATACATGTGTGAATGGCTGTACAATACAGGTGCAAATGATATGTATATCCTGTGGTTTTCTAGGTGTGTTGATGTTGGGTTAGTTATGGTAAATGTTGATGAACAATTATTTTGGAGGCGGAGTATGTGGGCAACATTTTGGTGATGGTGAAAGCAGTAGCTATATATAGAAATTTTCTTTCTTTCTCTCCAAAAAGAGGGGGTATTTTTCTGAAAAAGTAGACCTATAACACTTCACCGTGGATACCACTTGAGGAATGGCATAGAACTTACATCAACTTTTGATATTGAGCACACCCTTTTCTGCTAAGAAAAATACATGTAGAAAATAAATTAACCGTACACCAGTTAAATGACATATAGTCTTACAGTTTCATTTTTCGTGCTGAAACGAACTAATTGCTTTAGGTCATTCAATGTGGGGGGAAAATGTGAATGTTAAGGGGTTACAAAAGGTTAATAGCATCTGTGGAGGGGTAAGGAATACTTCATGAGCAGAATAAAAACCTGTTTCATAGCACTAGTATAGACAGGTGACAGGTTTAAGTATTGCTGTCATTCTACATTATGTGAATGATTTATTTACTCCTTTGTTTATTCCTTACTTTCTTTTTCAGTCTTTAGTGCACCTGGAAGTCTGGTAATTTACAGGAAGTAAAGTATATTTTACATTTTTAAAATTTCCATTTATATCTAAATATCATGCGAAGTTTTTCCTACATGTGCCTGAAAAATTGATCCAACCTCACAAATGAAAGTATCTCATGTTGATATTATAATATTTGTGTTCTACGAAAATGTCAAGAAGTTTGTTAGCTATATGACATTGGCCTAAGTTATAGAAAGATTTGAAAAAATTTTATTACGGAATATAGAATGAAAAAATATACAATAGAAATTTAACTAATAAAATAATTAAGCTGTATATAAACACCCTTAGTGATACCAGTAGTGACTAAATAATTATATTGACAGAAACAGAAAATAAAAATAATAATGAAAATATTATAATGATGAAAATAACACAAATTATAAGTTACCGAAAGATATTTTAAATGAATCATGACATGTAAGGAACTACCTTACTATACTTGTGAGAAACAGTGCTCACAAAACAAGTAATGTAAGTGCAGGACGAGCAATTACGCATAAGTAGGAGAAAATAAGATTTGACTGGAAATTCCCCATATAGCATACCTTACACTGCACCTGGTGGGACAAATTTCCCAATGGAATGCTAGCATAAACACCTACTTTACAGGTAGGCAGGTGATAAAGACTTAACCTCTGTTAACTTGGTATGAAAGCCAGGTAATTAAGACTTAACCTCTATTAACTCAGTGTGAGAGCTGGGATCTGGTAATTGTGAATCATTTGGATTGTGATAGGATTCAGTAGGTGAATGGATGGTGTTACTACCAAGGATTAAGTGAGTAATTTCAGCAGTCTGTGTTGTCGGACAGTAGTCTGAGGCAGTTATATTACTAGTAGTACTGCAGATTTGGATTAATACCAGCACGCAAACACACACTGCAAGGAAAATCGGTATTCTAGAGTAGTAGTCCAGTGCAGTTGATATATTGCTTTTCCAACATCCATAGTTTTTATCCTTGGACTTGCTGATTTTGATTTGGGCTAGTAAGTTTCCTGGTGCCTACTAGTTTATGTGAGTGGTGGGCTGAATAGCGAGGTGAGTGTGTGTGGGTGTGTGTGTGAGTGAGAGAGAGAGAGAGAGAGAGAGGGAGAGATATGTTATGCAATTTTAAACATTAATCTACAGTTCTTATTTCACTTTCCAGACCACCGCCTGGTTCACTAAGGTGAGGTGACGCCACACACTCAAGATGTAACCTCCAAAAGTCGATAGATAAAGAAATACCTACAGGTGCTGTGAGGAAAAGAAAACTTCTGAACCCAGCAACAAGAAGAATGAACTACGTTGGCAAGCTGCTCTCTAATTTTAAAGCCGCTTACAATGAGATAAACGCGGCGACCTTGACAGGTGCTATTGACGTGATTATCATACAGCAGGAAGATGGGTCCTATGTCAGCTCCCCCTTCCATGTGCGCTTTGGAAAACTGGGGGTTATACATTCCAGGGAAAAAGTGGTAAGTGTGGTCTTTTACTAGTGGGCAAATTTAAAACACCTCGGTTGTTCTGGGCTTTTTATGATATGAAAATTGTATATAAAATTTGCTTACAATAAGAAAGGGGAAAGTGGTTAAGGTAACAGTATTGAGGATTGGTGTTTATGATCTGTTGTTTACCTTGAGTATATTTTAAGTTTTTTCCAAGACATATAATTATCAAATAATGTACTTAAAATTTGTTGAGCCTTGATTTTGAAAAAAATTAATGAAATTTTAACTTGCAATAAAAAAATTCTTGTTTGGTGCTGAGTAATTTTCTTCATGAGCAGACACCTTAAAAATGTTATACTTAAAATAATTATCTTAATTTTCAAGTATCTTACTTTTCAAGATTCACCTATATTCATCACTCACAAGTAATTACGGTAAACAACATTTTCCTCGTTCAGGTGGATATCGAGATCAATGGAGATCCAGTAGACCTGCACATGAAGCTGGGAGAGTCTGGGGAGGCATTCTTTGTAGAGCCAACAGATGAAAAATCAGAGGTGAGCTCCCTCCCCCCCTCCCTGCAACCTCTATTGTTTATTTATTTATTTAATTATTCAATATTTGTTTATTTATTTGCTTATTAAATTTTTGAATGAAATTTTTGTACTTTCACTAATTTATTGTTAGCACCATCTGAAATTTGAACTTAAACTAGCCAAAGGAATGGTGTAGAAAGAAAAATTTAATTGGTCATAATATGTTGATATTTTTCAGTCCCTCTTTGAATTGGCTACCTCTCCCATTGCCACCCCTTCTCCAGGAGAAATTATGAAAGAGGGCATCAAACAACTGAAGAAAGAACAGGGAAAGGTAAAAAAAAGTTTTCTTAGGACTTTAGACTTCCCAGAGTTTTTGAAGATATAAGTTGATTTTTCCAAGTTTAAAAACTTTTTAAAAATAACTTTTTTGACCTCCCTGTACTAATTTGTTATCCTTTTGGTTTGGTTAACCCAGCTGTTGGTACAACCCAGGAGTTGGTAACAGCCCTCTAATATTTTTCACTTTGGAATGGTGAAATGAAGTCAACAGCAACCACACATTTCTGTACCTTTACCTAAAATGTCTGTCTTCATGGGTTAGAGCACAAAGAAATCGAATTGAATTATTATCATGTGGCTCCCCTTCCAGGAGAAGCTGTCCGCTGTTCTCTCTGCCCCCAGTGCCTTGGATACCTTGGAAAGCAAACGAGAGAAATGTCGCTCAGAGGTCAGCCTAGAAAGCTTGGAAAAAGGGAGTCTGGGATCATCTATAGATGGCGACACTGGGCAGTGCAAATCTTTATCAGGCACGCCAACACAATCCCCTGTCAGATTTGGCCTGGAGCAGGAACATCTTGAGCTGCCTGGCAGACAGCGGAAATCGTCAGCAAGAACCATGAGCGGGGACAGTACGACAGCGAAGAGTTCTCCAAGGCATGCTGGGAAGGATGAGGACCATATCCCAGAATTCAATGATGAGGAGATATTTGATATGGACCCTATGTCTGACGATGAGCTGCGAATGATAAATATGAACTCGATGGCGCGGAGTGTAAGTCTTCCAGTGCTGGAGGAAGATAAGAGGAATAGTATTGAAGAATGGGCAAACAGTCGTTATGCTTCTCAGTTATATCCGTTTAGTGATGGGGATATCACACCTGTTGTTAGGTAAGTATCTTTGTCTGTATAATTTAAATTGTTTTGTTTCTGTAAGATAAAATGCATCTTGTTTGTATCTTAAGAATAAAATTTTAATTATTGTATGCACGTATTGTAGTCAAAAATACATTTTGTTTGACATGTAATTACTTTTTAGTTATAAGATAACTATTGTCTGTAATAATTATTATTATTTATTATCATTTTCTGCATAGCAGGGGCAGACAGTAGAAAGTACAGCAACCTGATCATATTCCCATGCACGAACTGACAAAAGCTTTATTGGTCAATTACAAAATTGTCCTGCATTTTAAACAAAAAGAAACAGAAAGAAAAACAGTTGAAATAGTAAATTAATTATGAATTTAATTCTTTATTTTCAGTCCCACTGCCACTCGCTCACCCAGTCCATTCAGCGATACTGAAATAGAGAAACAAAACGTAGTCTACGACACTGTCCTCTCTTCTGAACCATCAGAAAACCTCGACTGGTCGTGGGGAGAGCTGCCCCAAAAGACTCTGAATAATGTAGAGTCACCGTTGGCCATTGAAGTACCCACCAAGGCTCCAGAAATTCTAATAGAACAAGGTAGGGGAATAATTTGTGTCTTTTGGACATTTTATCATCGAAAATTTAGATTAGTATATTGCAAAATGATGAAGAACTCACTGTGCTGTTTTTTTCTTAGAAGATAAAGAAGATTAAGTGGCAGACCTTCAAGCTTAAAGAATGTTTAATGAAATAATATATTATGATCAGCAACTTTTAATTTTTTGAAGCTAAAGAAGAGGATACAGGTCTGTTAACGTTCATGAGGAGCACTAAGAAGATCCGCCACCAGCCTGTGCAGGAGGGTATATACCTGGATGACCTTAACCTTGAGGAGATGGACCCAGAGGTGGCAGCACTGTACTTCCCACCAAAACATCAGTAAGTGGGATTTGGGGGTTGTATAAAAGTGGGATCTGGGATTTTTATCTTCTTTGAGATAAAAAGTTCTTTTACCTAAATTGTTTATACATAGTTTAAGTTATTATATTAGCCTCTTAGGATTTCAAGTGAAACTTTCTCCAATGCGTCCAGTCTAAGTGAAAGTCCAGAATGCTGTGCACTTGACCTTTGTTGCACTCATATTATTAGTCTTGTTGGAATGGACATATTGTCTGGTTAGATCATGCATATTACCCAGAATGCCTTGTAATTTCAGGTTCACACATGCTCACCACATGCAGCCAATCAGGGATGAGGACATTGAGTCGGGGAAAGGGTCGTCTTTACCGCAGTCACCAAACAGTGTGGAAGGTGCAATAGGAGGAAATATACAGGAAAGGTGAGGAGTGACCCCCCCCCCCCGACACACACACACACAGACATGCTTTTCACCACTTTAACAAATTTCCAATTTTTCTGGCTGATTTTCAACTTAGCCCCCCATGTATTTTGCCATAGCCACTTTTTTCTTACCTTGCAAAATCATGTCTGAATGTGAGAGTTAATTGTACCACCNGCAATGGATGGTGTTACTACCAAGGATTAAGTGAGTAATTTCAGCAGTCTGTGTTGTCGGACAGTAGTCTGAGGCAGTTATATTACTAGTAGTACTGCAGATTTGGATTAATACCAGCACGCAAACACACACTGCAAGGAAAATCGGTATTCTAGAGTAGTAGTCCAGTGCAGTTGATATGTTGCTTTTCCAACATCCATAGTTTTTATCCTTGGACTTGCTGATTTTGATTTGGGCTAGTAAGTTTCCTGGTGCCTACTAGTTTATGTGAGTGGTGGGCTGAATAGCGAGGTGAGTGTGTGTGTGTGTGGGTGTGTGTGTGTGTGTGTGTGAGAGAGAGAGAGAGAGAGAGAGATGTTTTACAATTTTAAACATGTTAACCTACAGTTCTTGTTTCATTTTTCAGACAACCTCCTGGTGCATTAAGGTGATGGGGAAGCCACACACTCAAGATGTAACCTCCATAAGTAGATAGATAAAATAACACCAACAGGTGCTGTGAGGAAAACAAAACTTCTGAACCCAGCAACAAGAATGAACTACGTTGGCAAGCTGCTCTCTAATTTTAAAGCCGCTTACAATGAGATAAACGCGGCGACCTTGACAGGTGCTATTGACGTGATTATCATACAGCAGGAAGATGGGTCCTACGTCAGCTCCCCCTTCCATGTGCGCTTTGGAAAACTAGGTGTTATACACTCCAGGGAAAAAGTGGTGAGTGTGGTCTCTCTGCAAATTTTAGACACCTCGATTCTGAGTTTTTTATGATGTGAAGATTTAATATAATAATTTGATTACAATAGAAAGAGAAAAAAAAATTGTCAGTTAACAGTTTTGAGAATTGGCATTTCCAACTGTACAAAAAGTTAAAATTCAAAATATGTAACTACGTAAGCACTTTGGGGAATATTTATTAATTGACTTTTTTCAAATTTCAAGAGTAATTACCATAAACAACATTTTCCTCGTTCAGGTGGATATCGAGATCAATGGAGATCCAGTAGACCTGCACATGAAGCTGGGAGAGTCTGGGGAAGCATTCTTTGTAGAGCCAACAGATGAAAAATCAGAGGTGAGCTCCCTCCCCCCCCCTCCCTGCAACCTCTATTGTTTATTTATTTATTTAATTATTCAATATTTGTTTATTTATTTGCTTATAAAAATTTTGAATGAAGTTTTTGTATATCCAGTTCTTTGTTGTAAGCTCCATCTGCAATTTGAACTTATTTTAGCCAAAGGAATGGTGTAGAATGTGGAGATTTATTGGTCATAATACATTTGATCATCATTTTCAAATTGTTGATGTTTTTTCAGTCTCTCTTTGAATTGGCTACCTCGCCCATTGCCACCCCATCTCCAGGAGAAATTATGAAAGAGGGCATCAAACAACTGAAGAAAGAACAGGGAAAGGTAAAAAGTGTTCTTAGGCATATTTGAAGTTTTTTTAACCTAATTTTTTTGGCCATCGCTGTACTATGTTTTTATCCCTTTGGTTTGTCTAACCCAGCTGGTGGTAGCAGCTCTCATAATTTTCACTTTGGAATGGTGAAATAAAGTCAACAGCAATCACACATTACCTAAAACGTCTGTCTTCACAGATTTGAACAAGAATATATCGAATTGAATTAGTATTATGTGGCTCCCCTTCCAGGAGAAGCTGTCTGCTGTTCTCTCTGCCCCAAGTGCCTTGGATACCTTGGAGAGCAAACGAGAGAAATGTCGCTCAGAGGTCAGCCTAGAAAGCTTGGAAAAAGGGAGTCTGGGATCATCTATAGATGGGGACACTGGGCAGTGCAAATCTTTATCAGGCACGCCAACACAATCCCCTGTCAGATTTGGCCTTGAGCAGGAACATCTTGAGCTGCCTGGCAGACAGCGAAAATCGTCAGCAAGAACCATGAGCGGGGACAGTACGACAGCGAAGAGTTCTCCAAGGCATGCTGGGAAGGATGAGGACCATATCCCAGAATTCAATGATGAGGAGATATTTGATATGGACCCTATGTCTGACGATGAGCTGCGAATGATAAATATGAACTCGATGGCGCGGAGTGTAAGTCTTCCAGTGCTGGAGGAAGATAAGAGGAATAGTATTGAAGAATGGGCAAACAGTCGTTATGCTTCTCAGTTATATCCGTTTAGTGATGGGGATATCACACCTGTTGTTAGGTAAGTATCTTTGTCTGTATAATTTAAATTGTTTTGTTTCTGTAAGATAAAATGCATCTTGTTTGTATCTTAAGAATAAAATTTTAATTATTGTATGCACGTATTATAGTCAAAAATACATTTTGTTTGACATGTAATTACTTTTTAGTTATAAGATAACTATTGTCTGTAATAATTATTATTATTTATTATGATCATTTTCTGCATAGCAGGGGCAGACAGTAGAAAGTACAGCAACCTGATCATATTCCCATGCACGAACTGACAAAAGCTTTATTGTCAATTACAAAATTGTCCTGCATTTTAAACAAAAAGAAACAGAAAGAAAAACAGTTGAAATAGTAAATTAATTATGAATTTAATTCTTTATTTTCAGTCCCACTGCCACTCGCTCACCCAGTCCATTCAGCGATACTGAAATAGAGAAACAAAACGTAGTCTACGACACTGTCCTCTCTTCTGAACCATCAGAAAACCTCGACTGGTCGTGGGGAGAGCTGCCCCAAAAGACTCTGAATAATGTAGAGTCACCGTTGGCCATTGAAGTACCCACCAAGGCTCCAGAAATTCTAATAGAACAAGGTAGGGGAATAATTTTTGTCTTTTGGACATTTTATCATCGAAAATTTAGATTAGTATATTGCAAAATGATGAAGAACTCACTGTGCAGTTTTTTTCTTAGAAGATAAAGAAGATTAAGCGGCAGACCTTCAAGCTTAAAGAATGTTTAATGGAAGATATATTATGTTCAGTAACTTATATTTTTTGAAGCTAAAGAAGAGGATACGGGTCTGTTAACGTTCATGAGGAGCACTAAGAAGATCCGCCACCAGCCTGTGCAGGAAGGTATATACCTGGATGACCTTAACCTTGAGGAGATGGACCCAGAGGTGGCAGCACTGTACTTCCCACCAAAACATCAGTAAGTGGGACATGGGGGTTGTATAAAAGTGGGATCTGGGATTTTTTTTTTCTTTTTTTTATAAATCTTCTTTGAGATAAAAGTGGGATCTAGGATGTGCCTTTGAGATATAAAAGTTGACATTCAAATGTTGTTTGTTAATTGTGAATTCTGTGAGTTTTTTTACTTGGAATCATAGTCGACGAATGTTGTTGAAAATCTATTTCGATCGTACCTTGTTAAAGACAAGTTGATGGTGTTTGTTTATCTTATAGATAACTGTTTTATTTCTTTAAATTGATCAAACAGACTGAAATGTCATTAGAAATGATTGACGATGCGCTGAAATTGCGCGAATTGTCAAATTACGTAACAACTGATCTACCTTAAAGCTTATCCATAGCTTAAGTTAAATAGTGAATCTCTTGGATTTCAAATCAAAAATTTTTCTGTGTCCAACCAAATATATAAGCAAGATCGCTGTTCGCTAAAACTTTCTTGCAGTCACCCTATATGAATATTGTCTTGTTAGGTTGGAAATATTACCCAGAATGCCTTGTAATTTCAGGTTCACACATGCTCACCACATGCAGCCAATCAGGGATGAGGACATTGAGTCGGGGAAAGGGTCGTCTTTACCACAGTCTCCAAACAGTGTGGAAGGTGCAATAGGAGGAAATATACAGGAAAGGTAAGGAATGATGCACCTCCTCCCCCCCCCCCCACACACACACACACACACACACACACACACTGCAGACATGCTTTTCACCACTTTAAAGCAATTCCAATTTTTCTGGCTGATTTTCAACTTGAAGTCCCCCATTTTGCCATTGCTACTTTTTTCTTGCAAAATCATGTCTGAATACAGGAGTTAATTTTATCTTTTTTACCAATAGAGGCTTTTCCACGGTCACGTGACTTCCNCTAGTTTTCTTTTTTTTTTACTAGTTAGTAGAATTGTGCTATTAGAACAATTGAAAAAAATTCTAAATAAGTGATTTTACAAGGCTATGTCTCTAGTTACCCAAAAGCAATTCTTACAACTAAAAATTTGCATTTTAGAAAATTGTATTAAGATTGTGTTACTAAATTTTAGTACGATTTCAGCTTACTTGGAATATAATTTTTACAGATTTTATTTATTTATTTATTTATTTATTTATTTATTTGTTGTAGTGAGCACTGGGATTTATCCCTGTCACTTTGTGGAGGGTTGAAAGAGGCCGAGGGCAACATCGCAATGGACAAATTCTTACAAGACTACGTGACATACGACAAGTTCTGTGAAAACGCCATGCAGATCATTTCCGACCCTAACCTGGTGATAAAAATCGGAACAAGGTATGTACTGCTGTGCATGTTCCATTCATCAGTGATAGATAAGTGATAATGTAACAAGGCTGAGCTTTTCACCAAAACGGGCGTTTATGTGGGTTAAGTTATCAAATCTGATTATTAATCACAGAGCAATACCCAAAATTATCATCATATTAGCAAAATGTGGGTTAAGTTATCAAGTCTGAGAGTTCTCCCGATTATTAATCACAGAGCAATACCCCAAATTATCATCATGTTAGCAAAATGAATACATTGATTAAGACCAAAATAAACAAGATTATCAATAAAGTTAATATTTTTACAGATATTTTAAAATTAGATTTTCATATCTTCAAGTTTGATGTGTGACTGATGATTATTTATGTTGATAGAAATTTGATTAAAATCATATTATGTGGTAAAAAAAAAATTTTTTTTTATGGTTATAATCCATGATTTTTAATTTTGATTTGTAAATTTTTTTATGATGGTAATTTGCTTAAAGATTTTTATGGGTTTTGATAAAAACTTCGTTTATTTTCTATCAGGTTCTACAACTGGCAGACGGCAAGCCCCATGATCCTCTCTGTAATGGCCTTCCAGCGCCCCCTTCCAGACTCCCTCATCACTAATCTCATCAAACAGCACATGCCAAAGAAAGAGAGGGCCAAACGCGCGGGGATGTCTTCCTGGTTCTCATGGCGGCGTGCCCCACCTGAGGATGAGGAAAAGGGTCAGGTGGGAAGTCAGGTGGCTGGAGATGTCAGCAAAGTAGAGCCCAAGAAGGTATATATCACTGTTGTCTGCATTAACGTTGTTTGTCCTATAATTACACATTATGAAAAAGTTTAAAAAACTTTTTGGACTAAAAATATCATGTTAGAACACAGCATTTTATTAGCACTCTTTAAATAAATATTTCAGATTTTTTTCTTTTAAATGATAACTTAATTTGAAGTGCTTTGAACTTTGTGAACAAAAACTAATATTTTTTCCTTTAAATTTTCATTATTTCCAGCCCAGTAGTCAGACGTCCACTCCCACCTCCAGTCCTCCCACCAGTGCTCCAAACTCACCACAGAAACAGAGAGAAAGAGAAACTGGCAGGTGAGGGGATTAAAGTACAGTAAATAAATGAATCAGTAAAAATACTCAATTGTTCTGTGACAGTATTTGAAATATTTCAGACAGTGTTTATTGTGGTTGTTGCAGTTTGTTACTTTAGGTTAACACTTTCTGTGCTAAGTATCTGTATTTTAGTCTCTGGCCATTATTTCTGCTTTCAGACAGTACATTTTTAGACTACAGTGGCCTGTAAGGCCGAGAGGTTAAAAAATATTATTGTACAGACTGTTGTTGATGCTGTTTCTGCTAACAATGTTGAATTTGAAAATATCAAATATGTTACCAAGTTCTTACTATTGCAGGAAAAAAGATGCAGACGACACCTCCACGTCTAGCGACGAGATGGAATTCAAGCAGTGGTCCCCAAAAAGAAGACGGGCCAACTCTCCCAAAAACCGCAATTCACAAGGACAGGTCAATTTCAAGAAAAGTCTTAGGCTAACGTCAGAGCAAATAGTGAGTTTTTCATTTGCTAGAATTTAAAATTCTTATTTTTGTTTATGTCTAGAAAAAAAGAAATCCACGAATAAAACTTTCATTCTGTGTTTGGGTGGATCGAGGGTGACACCCTTAGAAATGAACATTTTAATTGTGCTTTTATTAATTTATTTGGTTTTTAAGTTTAGATATTCTTATCTTTTATTCAGACTATTTTTGACTGTGACTAATCAATTCATTTTCATTTTCTCTCAAAATATCTGTATAATTTCTTTTGTAATTAGTGACAGAGGTAATTAAAGTAAATTAAATCCTTGCATCCATTCATTGACAATTGATTATTTATTCCTTCACCATATCAGTCCTAGCTAGCAAGACAGAGAAGAGTTAAGTAGTAGGCGGTACATATACAGGAGGCTGCTACACCTCTCTCACCATGTTATTCAATTATTTATTAATTCGTTCTATCAGTCAGTCATTCATCCATTTCTTTGCTTTCTCCATTTCAGTCTAAACTAGTCAGGCAAAGTAGAGTCAAGCTACAACCAGGGCAAAACACAATCTCATACTCCGTGACGACGCAGTACCAGGGAACATCCAAGTGCGTCTCTCACATCTACCTGTGGCGCTACGACGACAAAATTGTCATCTCTGACATAGATGGCACTATTACCAGGTAAGAGAAGTTTGTATATGGGTGGATATTACATATATGGGGTGGGCAGGGTGGAGAATGAAAAACAAAAGTTTGCAAATGATAGTGAGTGATTTAAGATACTGATTGAAAGAAGAAAGCAAAATATTCAAGAGTTGATGAAATGCTGACAGGTTGTGAATACTCTTAATTTAGCACCTGTTTTGATTTCTTTTCATTGGATTCCTTTTGTGAGTTTATTATTTAGAGATGAAGTCCAGAGATTTGGGAGTTGTATTTTATGCCCCCCTTAACCTTAACCATTTTTTTTATTTTAAAATTTTCATTTAATTATTTGTTAATATTCTCATTGATAAGCACTAAATAATCTCCCATAATTTCCAGGTCGGACGTCCTTGGCAACATCCTCCCAATGCTGGGTAAAGACTGGTCTCAGATGGGTGTCGCCAAACTCTTCAACAAGATCCACCTCAACGGCTACAAGTTCCTGTACCTCTCGGCCCGGGCCATTGGTCAGTCCTCCCTGACCAGATCGTACCTCAAGAGTATCCGCCAGGGGGAGCTGTGTTTGCCAGACGGCCCCATGTTGTTGACTCCTAGTTCCCTTATCAATGCCTTCCACAAGTGAGTTGATATTAGTTGGTCTAGTATGGACTGGTGAAAAATCTGTATAGAAGTCCAGAGGGGTTTTCATCCTAATGAAAGTAGTCTTTGTAGTGACCGTCACTGTTTATTCCATGTTAAATTCTTTAATGAAAAAAAATTATGTATTTATGTAATGTTTATGTTTATAATAAAGCATAAACATTATATAAACATTATATTTATATAATGTTTATGCTTTATTATAAAACAATGATAAAAAAAACAGGAAATCCTGTCATTAAGTGCTCTTTGTTTCTTTTCAGGGAAGTTATAGAGAGAAAGCCAGAAGAGTTTAAGATTAACTGTCTGAAAGACATAGCATCCCTCTTCCCGGCGACACGACCGTGTCCTTTCTATTCCGGCTTTGGAAACAAAATTAATGTGAGTGCTATAACAGGTTTAGTTACTTATCATACTACTCTCATTTATAGTATGCATGTATGTGAATTTTGAAGTGCCTTTATGTTAGATGTATATAGTTTTTATTATTATTTTTTCACTATTGTTTATAGGCATGCATATGCATGTTATGATGTTTGAATAAGTTCACCGAAAAAATGGAAATTAAATTTTTGTTTTCATGGATTTAAAGTCCATTTCCTATGCGATTATTTTTGCTACACAGCCAAGTGGCTGTCTTGCCACTAAAATGTTCAAATGATTATATAATAATTGATAATTTTTGTTTGATGTAGGATGTTTGGGCATACAGGGCTGTTGGTATTCCAATATCAAGAATTTTCTCTATCAATCACCGAGGGGAATTGAGGAGCGAGATTTCCAAAACTTTTCAGACTTCGTAAGTAGTTCACAACCCATCTATTGAAGTATGGCAATTATTCATAAAAATTTAATCAAAATTAATTGTTCTTATTGAAAGAATGGAACATAAAAAACTTGAAATGTGAAATTCATATTTTTTATTATCAAATTGTATGTACTTTTAAGATCTCTCTTACTTTAAATATGCTGATATTTTCATATTTTGTATTATTTGACATTCCTACTCAGAGAAAATACTCTCATTTCACTGAAAAACACCCCTAAAATTGAATAAAGCATATATAGCCACAGTCACATACTTACGTACTAATATAATAATGGTTTCTTCTAATTTTAAACATTAATTTTTAAAAATAACTTCTTATTTTATTTGACAGCTACAACAGCCTGANTCTATTAGTAGAATTGTGCAACTAGAACAATTGAAAGTATTCAAAAAATTTTACAAGGCTATGTCTCTAGTTACCCAAAAGCAATTCTTACAACTAAAAATTTGCATTTTAGAAAATTATATTGAGATTGAATTATTAAATTTAAGTCTGATTTCAGCTTATTTGGAATATAATTTTTATAGATTTTATTTATTTATTTATTTATTTATTTATTTATTTATTTATTTTATTTTTTGTAGTGAGCACTGGGATTTATCCCTGTCACTTTGTGGAGGGTTGAAAGAGGCCGAGGGCAACATCGCAATGGACAAATTCTTACAAGACTACGTGACATACGACAAGTTCTGTGAAAACGCCATGCAGATCATTTCCGACCCTAACCTGGTGATAAAAATCGGAACAAGGTATGTACTGCTGTGCATGTTCCATTCATCAGTGATAGATAAGTGATAATGTAACAAGGCTGAGCTTTTCACCAAAACGGGCGTTTATGTGGGTTAAGTTATCAAATCTGATTATTAATCACAGAGCAATACCCAAAATTATCATCATATTAGCAAAATGTGGGTTTAGTTATCAAGTCTGAGAGTTCTCCCAATTATTAATCACAGAGCAATACCCAAAATTATCATCATGTTAGCAAAATGAATACATTGATTAAGACCAAAATAAACAAGATTATCAATAAAGTTAATATTTTTACAGATATTTTAAAATTAGATTTTCATATCTTCAAGTTTGATGTGTGACTGATGATTATTTATGTTGATATAAATTTGATTAAAATCATATTATGTGGTAAAAAAAAATAATTTTTTTTATGGTTATAATCCATGAGTTTTAATTTTGATTTGTAAATTTTTTTATGATGGTAATTTGCTTAAAGATTTTTATGGGTTTTGATAAAAACTTCGTTTATTTTCTATCAGGTTCTACAACTGGCAGACGGCAAGCCCCATGATCCTCTCTGTAATGGCCTTCCAGCGCCCCCTTCCAGACTCCCTCGTCACTAATCTCATCAAACAGCACATGCCAAAGAAGGAGAGGGCCAAACGCGCGGGGATGTCTTCCTGGTTCTCATGGCGGCGTGCCCCACCTGAGGATGAGGAAAAGGGTCAGGTGGGAAGTCAGGTGGCGGGAGATGTCAGCAAAGTAGAGCCCAAGAAGGTATATATCACAGTTGTCTGCATTAACATTGTTTGTCCTATAATTACACATTATTTTGTGAAAAAGTTAACTTTTTAAAAAAACTTTTCGGACTTAAAAATATCATGCTAGAACACAGCATTTTATTAGCACTCTTTAAATACATATTTCAGATTTTTTTCCTTTAAATGATAACTTAATTTGAAGTGCTTTGAACTTTGTGAACAAAAACTAATATTTTTTCCTTTAAATTTTCATTATTTCCAGCCCAGTAGTCAGACGTCCACTCCCACCTCCAGTCCTCCCACCAGTGCTCCCAACTCACCACAGAAACAGAGAGAAAGAGAAACTGGCAGGTGAGGGGATTAAAGTACAATAAATAAATGAATCAGTAAAAATACTCAATTGTTCTGTGTCAGTATTTGAAATATTTCAGACAGTGTTTATTGTGGTTGTTGCAGTTTGTTACTTTAGGTTAACACTTTCTGTGCTAAGTGTCTGTATTTTAGTCTCTGGCCATTATTTCTGCTTTCGGACAGTACATTTTTAGACTACAGTGGCCTGTAAGGCTGAGAGGTTAAAAATATTATTGTACAGACTGTTGTTGATGCTGTTTCTGCTAACAATGTTGAATTTGAAAATATCAAATATGTTACCAAGTTCTTACTATTGCAGGAAAAAAGATGCAGACGACACCTCCACGTCTAGCGACGAGATGGAATTCAAGCAGTGGTCCCCAAAAAGAAGACGGGCCAACTCTCCCAAAAACCGCAATTCACAAGGACAGGTCAATTTCAAGAAAAGTCTTAGGCTAACGTCAGAGCAAATAGTGAGTATTTCATTTGCTAGAATTTATAATTCTTATTTTTGTTTATGTCTAGAAAAAAAGAAATCCACGAATAAAACTTTCATTCTGTGTTTGGCTGGATTGACACTAAGAAATAAACATTTTAATTGTGCTTTTATTAATTTATTTGGTTTATTAGTTATGATATCCTTATCTTTTATTTAGACTGTTTTCGTTTCTTGCTAATCAATTCATTTTACTTTTTTTTTTTAAATAGCTATGTAATGTATTGTGTAATTTATGAGATTTTAAAAGTAAATTCAATCTTTGCATCCATTCATTGACAATTCTTGATTTATTCCTTCACCATATCAGTCCTAGCTAGCAAGATAGAGAAGAGTTAAGTAGTAGGTGGTACATATACAGGAGGCTGCTACACCTCTCTCACCATGTAATTCAACTATTTATTAATTTATTCTATCAGTCAGCCATTCATCCATTTGTTTGCTTTCTCCATTTCAGTCTAAACTAGTCAGGCAAAGTAGAGTCAAGCTACAACCAGGGCAAAACACAATCTCGTACTCCGTGACGACGCAGTACCAGGGAACATCCAAGTGCGTCTCTCACATCTACCTGTGGCGCTACGACGACAAAATTGTCATCTCTGACATAGATGGCACTATAACTAGGTAAGAGAAGTTTGTATATGGGTGGATATTACATATATGGGGTGGGCAGGGTGGAGAATGAAAAACAAAAGTTTGCAAATGATAGTGAGTGATTTAAGATACTGATTGAAAGAAGAAAGCAAAATATTCAAGAGTTGATGAAATGCTGACAGGTTGTGAATACTCTTAATTTAGCACCTGTTTTGATTTCTTTTCGTTGGATTCCTTTTGTGAGTTTATTATTTAGAGATGAAGTCCAGAGATTTGGGAGTTGTATTTTATGCCCCCCTTAACCTTAACCATTTATTTATTTTAAAATTTTTATTTAATTATTTGTTAATATTCTCATTGATAAGCACTAAATAATCTCCCATAATTTCCAGGTCGGACGTCCTTGGCAACATCCTCCCAATGCTGGGTAAAGACTGGTCTCAGATGGGTGTCGCCAAACTCTTCAACAAGATCCACCTCAACGGCTACAAGTTCCTGTACCTCTCGGCCCGGGCCATTGGTCAGTCCTCCCTGACCAGATCGTACCTCAAGAGTATCCGCCAGGGGGAGCTGTGTTTGCCAGACGGCCCCATGTTGTTGACTCCTAGTTCCCTTATCAATGCCTTCCACAAGTGAGTTGATATTAGTTGGTCTAGTATGGACTGGTGAAAAATCTGTATAGAAGTCCAGAGGGGTTTTCATTCTAATGAGAGTAAAGTCTTTGTAGTGACCATCACTGTTTATTCCATGTTAAATTCTTTAATGAAAAAAAAATTATATGTTTATATAAAGTTTATGCTTTATCATAAAATAATGATGAAAAACCAGAAAATCCTGTCATAAAGTGCTTTTTGTTTCTTTTCAGGGAAGTTATAGAGAGAAAGCCAGAAGAGTTTAAGATTAACTGTCTGAAAGACATAGCATCCCTCTTCCCAGCGACACGACCGTGTCCTTTCTATTCCGGCTTTGGAAACAAAATTAATGTGAGTGCTAACAGGCTAAATTATTTATCATACTACTCTCATTTATAGTATGCATGTATGTGAATTTTGAAGTGCCTTTATGTTAGATGTATATAGTTTTTATTATTATTTTTTCACTATTGTGCATAGGCATGCATATGCATGTTATGATGTTTGAATAAGTTCACCGAAAAAATGGAAATTAAATTTTTGTTTTCATGGGTTTAAAGTCCATTTCCTATGCGATTATTTTTGCTACACAGCCAAGTGGCTGTCTTGCCACTAAAATGTTCAAATGATTATATAATAATTGATAATTTTTGTTTGATGTAGGATGTTTGGGCGTACAGGGCTGTTGGTATTCCAATATCAAGAATTTTCTCTATCAATCACCGAGGGGAATTGAGGAGCGAGATTTCCAAAACTTTTCAGACTTCGTAAGTAGTTCACAACCCATCTATTGAAGTATGGCAATTATTCATAAAAATTTAATCAAAATTAATTGTTCTTATTGAAAGAATGGAACATAAAAAACTTGAAATGTGAAATTCATATTTTTCATTACCAAATTGTATGTACTTTTAAGATCTCTCTTACTTTAAATATGCTGATATTTTCATATTTTGTATTATTTGACATTCCTATTCAGAGAAAATACTCTCATTTCACTGAAAAACACCCCTAAAATTGAATAAAGCATATATAGCCACAGTCACATACTTACGTACTAATATAAAAATGGTTTCTTCTAATTTTAAACATTAATTTTCAAAAATAACTTCTTATTTTATTTGACAGCTACAACAGCCTAAGTGACATTGCAGACCACTTTTTCCCACCACTCCATGTCACATCCTCTGGAGTTTGTGAAATTGGAAATTTTTCGGCAGCAGATAAATACAGCCAGTACACATACTGGCGAGAACCTCTACCAGAATTGGACGATGAAATAGCGAATTTTTTGAAGAAAAATAAAGAGAGTGAAGCGAGTCCAAGTAAAGGATCTAAAAAGGGGAAGTGAATTTATTAATTGTATGATTGGAAGAAATGGCATTTCACCAATAATAGTGGAAAGAAAAATAAGCTCACAGTTGAACTAGAAAAATAACTGAAAAGTATGTATAAGAAAAACTGTGAGGGAACAGAAAAACTTCCTCTGAGGGTTGTGAGTTTAGAGAAATTTGAATTCTAGTATACCAAACACGAGGAAGAAGAAATCATCGGCACAGCAGGTTTCATTTATTTCCTGTTTCAAGAAAAATAAAGCAGATACAAACAAAAGAAGATAAGAAAGTAAAGAAGAATCTTTGAAAGAAAAAAACATCAGGAAAGAGAAAAGTTCCCTGCTTATTGGGTTCACAATGCAAGATTTCTGCAAGACACACACACAAAAATAACAATTTGGTCAGTTTCAAAAACACCATGTGACACTGTTGTAGACCAGCCAGGACGGGTGAAAAAAAATCTTTAGATCCCAAAATGTTGCACAAACAAAAACCTAACAGGGGAGTTTATTTTGTTGGAAACTAGAAATGATCATTTTAGGAAAGGTTGTATATTGGAACAAGCGACACAAATGTCCTGGCAGCCGGAATGTGAAGGGGTATGTTGAAATTGTTAAATCAGTTTAGTACTTAATGAATCACTGCACTATTTGAAGTGATACATCTGTGCACAAATATTAAGATTAAGGTGTCATCTAACTTAATATTGGTGGCACAAATACTGACAAGTAACACCTAAGGTTATATTTGTAGTACTTAGATTTTTACATGACAAACTTACTCAGATATAAGTTAAATTTGATAACAATTTATCATGTATTAAATTGGAGAGTTTAGTTCACTTTTATGAAGAAAGTAGCATGTTAAGTTTTTTCTTTTATGCTGCCAACAGTCCATCCAGTTGTCATCAGTTAAGCTGGGGAAGTTCATTTCATAAATGAAAAAGGAAAAAGTTTAAAAAAAGCTGCTGTATAGACATTTTCAGATTGGAAAGCGCTGTCATAAGGTCATGTGACTTATGATGTAAATACATGAAACTTTTCAGGTGCTAGGGAGACTTCCTCACTCCTATTGAAAAAAATAAGAATTCAGTAGCTGAGAGTGGAGTCTCTCCCCCTCCACTCCTAAGTCACTTGACACCATCATCATGTTTTCCTCTCTGAAAATGCCTATTGTTAAGTGTAGTGAAAGCATCAGTATTATATTGACCAAAAGTTTAGCAAGAAGTAACACAAACTTGCAAACATATATAATATATGTCATTCCATGGAGAAGGGGCTTTGTTGTATGAAAATTATATGATAGTCAAAACATTCATTCTATGTAAGACTTAAACCTACATTTGAATAAGGTCAAACCCTCCTATCTCCTGTATGAAAAGGATCTAGCAGTAGCCATCTTGGCTCGTAAGGAGGTCTCGTTTCTATGTGTCAGATCACGTGCAATATGGCAGTTGGAAGCCATCTTGATTTATTTTAAAAAAAGGGAAATTTTTGTCTAAGGTAAGTTGACCACCTCCATGATCTGCATGGAGAATGAGAGGATTTGGAGTTATTCAGATAGTTAAGATTTCTGTTTATTTCCTAAAAAAAGGCGTTGCCTTAGTACGTGGTGAATATATTTATAAGTAATAATTACTGTGTCTATCATTTAATGGTTTGCTATTTATTTTTTATTTCAGTAGAAACTGTACAAACAACTGCTTCTTTTTGGAATAATCTTTCAGGTGCAGGTGTTTTATCTTTTGACATAATTATTTATCCTACTAAGAACTGAAATATATGACCAGTGAGGCTTGGTTCACATGTTAACTGCGAGACTGTTACACATTACTCTCAATCCAGGATACCTCAGTTAATATGGATTGTTGGTTATTTAGGCTGATATTATATTAAAGAAATGAAAAAAAAAAGATGTTGGGGGAGAAAAAAAATAGAATTTTAGCAGTATTATTACTTTCCATACCTGACATTTAAGCTTTGATGTATATATTTGAAAATGATTTTGCTTTGATTATGTCAAAGGTGAAATATGTAATTGCAGATTATATAGAATATATGTATGTTGTAAACAGAGATGAGCATTTTTATCTTGTTGTATATAATGTTTTAATGTCAGATGTTTTATATAAAGAAGTAAAAAGTTGCTTTTTCAGTTAGAATAAGAATTTCTACTCCTGAGTGGTATCTTACACTATATATGTGCAAGAATATATAGACATATAAAAACCTGCATATCTGTGAAGCTATTTTATTGGAAAGTAGATTTTATACAGCTCTCATAGATTGACGGCTATATGTAGAGATAAAGTTCCATAGTTATACCTTTAGTGAAATTTAGTGGGATATTCTTGTGGATGATAAAGCATAGCATGGAATGATATGCAATGTATTTGAAAGGCAAGTGCTGATAAATGAAAATGATTGTGTGCACTTTTCAACATACAAGCTGGTTAGTAATATATTTATATTATTAGCCAGATTTTCTATTGCAATCACCCAGTGCCTTGCATTGTGTGATTCTTCACTGTGATTATGACTCAGACATCACTTTTTAATGAATTAACCTTATATGACCTTGACCTTGTTAAGGATCAAGGTCATGACCAAAATGTGATTGTATTTTTTTCTGTTGCTTTTTATCACGGACTTTTGGGTTATAACTAGGTATACTTGTTTTTTTCTTCCTTTGGGAAGATAGTATACTAATGTCATTTCTTTGTCTTTTCAAGATATTTGTATGATTTGAGAATGACTGTAGAATGGTCCAGGGCAGCTGTAAGTTATGATTTTATTATTTAGAAGATGGGTGGAACAGGATTGATACAGAAATTGATTGGAGATTTTTTTGTTACATTTATAGTGTGTGCACAAATGCTGGTGCAAGTCATTGAGTCAAATGATGCTGTTGTAGATGTTGATAAGCCTATTCTTGATTTTTTTTGCCTAAAGTTAACTTGATTATATTAAGCATGCAAATGCTGTCTGAAAAAAAAAAAAGGCCAGTGCCATGCATACTTTCAGAGAGCAGAAAAATTTGAATTGAAACAAAGAGACATTGCCAACATGTTTTGCAAGTCCTTTTAATTTTTTTTCACATCATTGTGAATTGGCTCGACTTATGCAGAAACTATTTAATTTTGAAGATATTTAAATTTGTTAAATTTTGTCAAGTGAAAATTAGAATGGTCTAAAAAGTCAATAGCCTTATAAGAAGGTGGTATTTTTAGGTTGTTACTATTTATGTTGATAAAACATAAAAGCTACAATCAGAAGTGTAAAAAGTGGGTGCATTTCGTGACTAGTTAGTCTTGGAGCGTCTTGTCTTGGTTATGTGCCACACCAAGTGGCAGACAAGGAGCTTGCTCACACATGTTCCATTCTAAGGCTTGTGAAATGATGAAACTTTGCAATGGACTGATAAAAATACAGTACAAAGTGTTCTGTGCAATTTTGCCTATGTTTCAAGTGTAAATTAACAGACAAAGTGATCGTGTTTGTGTCTGTAACTGTAACTGAGCAGAATTGCTTAAATTTCTGTCGGATGTGAAGTTGTAAATAAATATTAAGGCTAAAAAGTTGGAAGCTTTTTTGTTCATTGTTATTTTGTGACTGTCATAATCACACACAGTGTCCTTGCATTGTAAATGTTTATTTTGAAAATACCTTTTACACATTTCTAAAGTGTAAATATTTGGTTATGATTTAACTCTAAAAACGACAAAATTAGGTAATGACCCCGACGTGATTTGAACACGCAACCTTCTGATCTGGAGTCAGACGCGCTACCGTTGCGCCACGGAGTCCTGTTACAGTAGTGCACTCTACATATGTCACAAAACATATCGTCTGAACTTGGATAAGAACCCTACAGACGACATGTTTATATATTCTACTTCTGTCAAAGAGGTTGTTTTCACCTCCATTTGTCTTTCTGTTTATTGCACAATAAGTGCTATTACCTTGAACTGGTGCAATGGATGTGTTCTCAACTACCACAATTTATCTCTGCATGTTCCTTGGCGGAGGTCTGCACTCTCTGGGCGGTTTTCTAGTCCCTAAGATTGCTCATATCCACATTGTTGACACTCAGAAACCCAGGCATTACACTCCTTGCTATAGCGTATTATGAGGAGTCTAAACAAATAATTTTAAGAGATACGGAAGGTAGTCATCTCTGAAGGTGCACGTGGTCCGCGGCCAAAGCACAGATTTCAGAATATTTCCTATAACCACTGTTTTGGTGGTGAAATGGAATTGTATTTTCATGTGTTGCTTACAATGTATTTATTGAGGAATTTTGAATCTCAAAGAGTTGTTATCCTTTTAAATTCGTCAGAAAAGTAGATATTTGGAGAGACTGCTACCGATTTGTTGAGGGTAGAAGGTTTTGTTCAGACTTATTTTAATCTTAAAGTCTTTTGGGCAACCAACCCAGCCTTCATACCTATTACAGAATACATGAATGAAACTAAGTAACAAATATCATTTCACCATTTTATGGTTGTTTTATTATTTTCTTAAGGCAATTTGTATGAAATGCTCACTACCAGGTACATACTACTACTACTAGTATTAGTCTTAACTGTAACAGCTTTGTTTAAAATAATTCCCCAACCTCTTCAGGAGCTATAATGTAAAACATTTTGATCCCATTAAAATATGACCGAACCAAATCAACAGAATACAATATATAATGGTAATGAGCTATCCAAACTGTACCAACTATGCAGCAATAATAATAAATGAGGCAGATTTGAAGAACCATTCATAGTCATATTGCAGATATCACAATTGGAGAGTTGAAAATTATTTCTCCTTTAACCTGCATATTGATGTAAGCTCACTTATTATACATCACACTTTATATAAATAGCTATGTAAGAATGTTATTTAATAACAATATCATGAGACTTTGATGCTAACCTTTCAGGCAGCTCTGTAGAATCTCACTGTAGTGTCATGATTAATGAAATCCGATTAAATAGATTGCATAAGAAATACATGCACACCCTGTATATCTCTTTCTCTCTCAGTTTTTAAGGTATGCATCAGTTGTGACTAATTTTGTCTTGAAAAAACTACAATTACTCTTTTCAAGGAGTAAAGTAACATTAGATGTAACAACAGTTCAAAGTTAAACAGAGAATATACTTTAATGACATGATCATCACCCTTAAAAAAAAAAAAAAAAAAAAAAATCCCCCTTGACTCCTAACATTTTTAATATCCAGATCACAAACAATGGAAACATTATTTTTGTGAAAGGAAATGCAATTGGCAAATGTTTCTGAGGCCCACAATGGTTTTTGACATCTGAAAATATCTCTAAAATCTCAGTAAAGCTGGACAGTGGCACATGGGAGTGGAGAAAAATTTCAGTCTAGGATTTGATAAATTTATGCCTGAGACAAAAACTGGTGTATTTTGATACAAATCCAGATGTAGGTCAAAGGTTGTACAGATCTAGATGTAGGTCAAAGGTCAGAGGTCAAAGGTGACTCTTGGCCTGGCCTACCATGGAATTTGTCTTCCGTCCCAGAGCTTTTGAGATAAAAGCACCTGCCTCAATAACTTTCTGTAGGTCAACTCCCTGAAAAACAGTAATAATGTTGTGATAAGGAAAGAAATGATCCATTTTTCCTAGAAAACAGAATAAGTTCAATTAAATTCCATCAACCTTTTTATATTGTTATATTTTAAGTGGTAGCTGCATCTGCCATATTAAAAGGGAAGAGGGAGGCAGACACCCTTTTGTTGTGTCCCCCAGTGCCCACTGACTGAGCATAACAGGTTCTGTATCCAAAGCCCATTAATTCAAATTAACTTATTCAACCTCATATCCATCAAAGTCTGATAATTATACATAAGCCAAACAATCTTACTGTTTTAATTCCTAAACCATGTAGCATATAGAGTACATCTTCAGTGGCCACATTTCCTGTAGCTCCCTTAGCATAGGGGCATCCTCCCAGCCCTGCTGCTGAGCTGTCTACCACTGATACACCCATCTGAAGAGAAAAAAGTTGATCGTATTAGGCGAGACAGACAGGTTGTGTTGGGTGAGACAGACAGGTTGTGTTAGGTGAGACAAAGTGGTTGTGTTGGGTGAGTCTGGGTGGTTGTATTGGGTGAGACCCAGAATTGTGGTGTAGGGTGAGATGCAGAGGTTGTGTTAGGTGAGTGGTGTTAAATAGATATTGTGCTGGGAAGACAGTGGTTTTGAAAGGTGTGTTGTGTTTAGTGAGACAGTATTTGTATAAGGTGACATATGGTGGCTGTGTTACAAAAGACACCATGTTAGGTGAGATGTGAGATAGTGTGTGAAGTGAGTTCAGTGACTGCATTAATTGTAATTGGGCTGGTGAGAAGCAAGGACAATTTTTCTAATCATCTTCATATTTGGCTCTTAAAAGTCCATCAGAGAAAGATAAATAATTTCATAACAATTTACATCAAACAAAATCTTATTGCTCATAACACAATAAAATCCAAACAACAGGTTCACACCTACCTGTAAAGCAGCAAATATATTAGCCAGTGCCTGCCCGTATGTGTTATGGCAGTGGATGGCCAGTTTTTCCACAGGGACTGCCCTCTTGACTTCCTCCAGCATGGCTTTAATAGAGGCAGGAGTCCCCACTCCTATGGTGTCTCCAAGGGAAATCTCATGACAGCCAAGGTCCAGCAGCTTCTTGGCCACCTGGAGGATTTCAAAAGATAATGTTGAAACTGGTGACTGTGGTGTGGTGGTAGAGTGTGTTAGGTGTGACACATTGAGTGTATTAGGTGTGACACATTGATTGAGTAAGGTGTGACACATTCAGTATGCTGAGCATGGTGTGTTAGGTGTGACAAATTTAGTGTGTTAGGTGTGACAAATTGAGTGTGATAGATGTGTCACATTAAGTGAGAAAGGTGGGACACTGATATATATTGGGTGTGACAGATGTGTTGGGGGTGTCCTGGGTGAGTGTGTTAGCTGTGACAGTGGTGAGTGTGTTAGCTGTGACAGTGGTGAGTGTGTTGGTCATTTTTGAGAATTCTGTGTTGGAAGTGGTGGAGTAGAACATATGATGTGTTCAATGAAAACATCAACTGACCTCAGCCACCTTCTGCGGTGGCACTGGACCCTCATACGGGCACCCGACAACACAGGAGACATATCTGAAATGTTCAGATCAAACAGGGTGAATGACTGCCATAAAATATTCCATGACCTTGATGACAGTTTCAATATTTTTCACTTAATGTCAGATTTTAATTTTAACACAGCATATTTGTGTTAAGAGTTTCAACTGGTCAATGATCACAAATCAAAGAGAACAACTGTCTAATTGGAGCATTTTATCAAATCTGTGAATAACCTTTTGAGATATCTTGTCTATTTAAAATGACAAACCAATATCTATGAAAGCAACCTCCTTTCTTGGGAAAGGTTCCAACTCACCCCCTGACTGGTATGCCTGCCTCTTTAGCTGCCTGGGATACCTCAGTGAACCTACTGATACTTTCATCTACGGAACAATTAATGTTCTTTCTGAAAGTTTAAATCATATTACAAATAAATATGGTAAATCAGTTTATAAAAACAGAGCGGTTCCAAAGATGAAACTTGAGTCACACAACCCCTTTACCCTCGTCTTCTGAAAAAAGGTAGATCTCTTGTAATGGATGCCTCAACATTCAGATGATTTATTAGGTTAAGCGATAATGGTGATCCATAAAAGTCCTCGTGAAGAGGCAGCAATATTTATTTTGTTAGAACATATATGTCCATTGGAAAAATAGTATTAAGAAAATTTATACACATGTATCAATTCAAAAAGTCTTCAACTTTCAAAATATAGAACTTAAAACCATGAATTAAGCAACTTACTGACTAAATGTTTCACTTGCTGCTCCAAACACTGCTACCTCAGAAGCCCCAGAAGCTTTCTGGAAATGCAATAAGAAGTTAAATGGTGATGCCAGTTAAGTCTATTTTCAGCATTAAATTTAGCTCTGATGTGAACACAACTTTTGTGACAGCTACCTACCCATGATCACAACAAAATTCTGTATACAAATGGATGGCAAATACCCCTCTAGTATATCAGCAGAGCCTGAGAACTACAATGTAACAAGCACAAGCAGAAAATAATTGGGCATTCCATGTCGAATAGACTGCCTGTTGAAGAAACTTGCCCCTATTCCATATTTGTGAATGTGTTAAGTGTGCCATTATGTCACTATTATCATTATAAGGAAGATATACCTACAGCATCATTGAAACCTCTCACATTTGGAGTAAGCACAGAATATGTCACACCGCTCTTTTTGTGGATTCCATTTAAAACCTCGTGATGGTCTCCCATCTGAAATATACATGCAGTGATAATGTGTCTTCCTTCATTTTATATGAAATGTGTGATTCTGACAACTTCTACTACACAGTTCTAATACTACTACTACTAAAACTGCTGCTACTACTACTACTTTATGACTAAGTAACATGTGTACTGCCACTGCTGCTTCTTAACTTACAGAAATGCTTTAATTTTTTAAATTCATTTTGGTGACTGCATAAAAATTTGAAGCAAGTGCCATGTTCTAAATATAAGATCAATCACTGTGACCCACCTGCGGCACCCATTTTGCAGAGACAAAGCTTGTCGCCTCTATCACAGGTAGTCCAGACGCCGACAGCAGGTCTATGAACTTTATCTTTGTTTCTGTGGAGACAATCTCCTAGACAACAAACAACACATATATATATATATAGAGATCATTAGAACAAATGAAAGTGCAGTGTCTGGACCTTATCTGATCAAATAACAGAGAAAAAGAAAATCCCCTTTGGGAAAAATACTTAAAAAATGTGCCTATTAATTTAAACCACTGATGATATATTTTATATATATACATGTATATATTACCTTTTCATTTTGCAGTCCGTCCCTGGGTCCCACTTCAACCACCTTCACAAAGGAAGGCAATCCAGGCCACTAGTAAATAACAATAACAAGAGTGATAAGATGATATCGTTAAGTGTTTTTGTTAAAACTGAATCACTGGGTGGGGGATCTTATCAGTCGGTGCGCGACCCGAGTTAAAGGTCAGAAGAACAACGACGATAAATTTAAGTGTCAGGGGCATTTGCCTGAGCTGAAACTCTATAATTTAAATACTCAAAACATACTTATTAATAGTTTTATAGTAGTCTAGAGGTATGGTACACGTACTTATTGATATCCAGTATGGCCACATACAGTACGTTTTCAGAGCATGCATTTTTTGGTAATTTTGAACTATTTATTACGCATAAAAAAAGCTGTCATCAATACATACCGCTCCAGTGGTATATCCTCTCGTAAGCTGCCTCGATAGATTGAACAGTCTTCTGCCGGCAGTCATTAAACACACGCTTTTACTCGCAGTCTGTACAACCATTTTCCAGCTTACCTTACCTGCCCTACTGCTACAAATAAATAAATAACTACACGAGTCCCGTGCTCCGCAGCAGCGCACTTACCGTGTTTTGATTGGATAAAATATGAATACAGGCTTATTGTTTACTGCACGTGTGCATTTGATGTAATAGATAACTGGTAATAAATAAATGTTGATTTATTACAGTAACAGTCAATGGGCAGTGGATATGAGATTGTACAATTTTAAGTTAAAACTTAAATTCTAAAATACAAAAGTAAAAATGTTTTCAGGTTTGAATCTTTAGATTTTAAAATAGAAAAAGTTAAATTATTCTAACATAAGAAAAATGAAGGTATAGTCTTTTCAGGTTTGAATTCAATAGCAATTATAATAATGATTAATTATGCAGGTAGTAACAATTAACCGGCTTATGTTTTTCTCTCATTTACGGACACTTTACGAAAAACTGTACAGCTTGATGGGCATCAAAAAGAAACAGGTTTACTTCAATCAAAGATCTTGCTTTAGTCAGTTTTTGGGTCTGGATGCATTAATAGTTACGGAAAATGTGTCGAAATGTCAAATCTTTCTTGTTTTGCTATGTAAGCCCCCAAACATATTTGTAAACTGGGGTACCTTGTAAGCCTTTTTTTTTTTTTTTTTTTTTTTTTTNACAAGAAAATGACTTATGAGCAATAGCAATAAAAAAGTATACTGGCTTGTTGTAAAAACACTATTATTGACAAGAAAAACCAATTTTACAAAAACATCCACTAGAAATATACATAGTACATACTGATAGTGAAAACAAAATGACACTTGGTTGTCTATCATATAATAATAAAACATATTGATACAAATGAAACATTAAATTCCAACACTACTCTTATGAACTTTAGCCACAAACAGATAATTTGATTAAGGCTGTTCTGACCCCCAGAGAATGAGCAGGTATATAATCAATTCAAGAAAATACACATCACTTCAACTGGGCAAATTTCTAGAATGATGTCAAAGTAATAATAAACAATGGCAAATCATATAGGTTTTTATTGGAAGTAATGAATGAAATTAAATTGTAAAACATGCCCTATGAAAAGAACTGAAATACTGAAACGGAATTATTCCAAATTGTCTAAAAATATAATCTGATCCCCGCTCTCAACACTTGCAATAAGAAAATGGTGGAAAGTTTTTTTGTATCTCTGGCAGTGATGCAATCAATTTAGGTGAAAAAATAATAGTAATAATAATAATTAAACAGTAATAATCACAATAATACAGGCATATAATGATTTAAATAGTAAATATTTACATCTTAAAAATAATGAGCAAAATATCTCCCTTTAATTTTCGGTAGTGTTTAGAGGTATTGTAGTACTATATGTGATTGTTAACTGTCACCAATAAAGGAAACAAAATATTTTTCCATACAGTACAGGGTCACTATTGAAGTATGTACAAAAACATCTGTCATTACTCACAATATTCAATTAAAACTGTTCATCACATAAATCTAAACTCTTTTCCCCACAACAGAGTGATAAACTGCTAAAAAACAATGAAAATAAGTGAATAAATAAATGCATAGGTAAATAAAAATGATAGTGTGTTGAGTTAATGTGTCATTCAACTCACTGCTCTTTCTATTTATCTCTTTTTCCATTTCTTTACCTTACTCCTGAGAAATAAAAGCTTACACCCACTAGCAAATGCATGGCATAGTAATGGAAATAGTCTGTCTAAAACATGACTAGAACGTGTGTGAGAATCCACTAACATTTTACTTAGCAGTGAAACTCGAGAATACCATCTTACAAAGTAATGCAAATGCAATATGCAAAACATAGCAAATAAAAAAAAAATACATAGTGCTGTACTGTAATTCTAGAGAATTTATGAGAAAATATCCATGGATAAATTCTTTTATTTCTTGCTGCACCGCATTAGATAGTCTGCCTGTACATCCTAATCCACTCTTTTCCAAAATGGAAAAATCTCACTCATTTTTTCCTCATTTTGAATGTGTTCCATGAATTTGTGAAGTTGGAGGTGCTTGCTTAGTCAGGTAATTGAACACTTCACAATTTCATACCTGACATTGTATAAATAGCAGTTGTTTATTAATATTGCACAAAAGGAACACTTGAAAACACAAACATCACACTATTATAATACAAACTGAGCTCACTTTCATCTAATGATGAAACTGTGATGTACAACACAGCACAAAAATTCTGTATTTCTAAGTGCACCATAATACAAAAAGAGTCCACAACAACCACTCATAAATGCACCAAAACAAATGTTCAAGACACATAATTACTTATAAAGACAAAGTTTTCACATAATTCTTAGTTACTTATTTGTATCTATAATTGGCAAAATTAGACAAAATTCATGTTGTTTCTTTATCTAGTACCATATAATTAAGATAACTTTGGCTTTCTGTCAGAATTAGGTATTTCAAGCATAAGCTCATTGCAACAAAGATGGGCCAAAGACACTAACAAAATATTTATTCAACCATCCTGTCATGGATTCAACTTAAAAAGCTAAAATGGTAAACAAATTATTTAGTTGGTCAAATAAAATGGTTAAAATTGTTAGCATTTATGTTCAAAGCTCAAAAATCAATAGTAGTTTTGGCTAGAACAAAATTTCACTCAGTACTATTCACTCCCTATGAAACAGTTATCACTGTTGCTTCTTAATAAAAAACATATATTGTACATAAAATCAACAATGATTATAATTAGAAGCTAAGCAGTAAATGCTCTCTCAACATTCACATGTGAACCTTTAATTCACAATTAAAATCATTAGATTGAAACTTAAGAGATCAAGAATGAGGCATTGTCTTAATATCATTTCAATTTCCACACAAAAATAATAAATAATAAAATTTGATTTTCTTTTTTTAAACTTCCCCAAAAGGAGGGAAATTAAATTAAATGAAAACCTGACACAAAAGAGACCACTGTAACAATTCTTTCTTCGACAAAAAAGGGAAATCATTAACAAAGAGGCACAATGTTTTTTTTTTTTTCTCACTTATGAGGCATGAGGATTAAACCCTTCACAATTCCCTAATTACATTTCTGGCCCCTCAACACGAGCTTTGACATCCGAGTTGATACGTCATGCCTCATAGAAAAAAAAAAAATCTTCTTAGAAATGATTTACTTTTTCACAATTAATTCCTTGTTTGTATTAATTCTGAAATCTCTACTGTTCACTTCCCAATGGCCTAATTTTCACTTTATAACTAATCCTCATCTTTTATTTCGCAAAAATTTTCCAAAAAGCAGGGCAGTCTTATTCACCTACAGCCGGCAGCATAAGAAACCATACTAACCAATAAGGATTTCAAATACTGCAAATTCACTAATGGAAAATCAGATTGCATACTTTGCTTAGTTCTTCTGCTCTCCTCGAGCAAATTTGTTACATCTTTCAGTACAACCGGAAATCACTAGTGACTACAACATACTGTATTCCTACCCAAGCTCATAAATGGAGGGATTTTATTTGACACATCCAGACTTCTGCCGTTACCTTAACAAGATGCAGGATTTTAGTCTTCTATTAATAATGTCAATTAGAGAATTATCATTTCAATTAATGTAATATCAGCATATAAACTGGTATCACTGCTACAATATTTCTAAATTCCCCAAAGCTTCTCGCATTCCCTCCAAACAGAATGCATCTCTACCAATGAGACTGCACGTAGCAAACTGTTGCTCTACTTCACCAATGAGACGCCATGTTACAAAGGGGCTTTACAGCAATCACCAGTAGGATACAATGTTACATGTCACCAATGAAAATTTACGGTACATGTAAGCCTTACTTTAACCACCAATGAGAGGCCGTGTAACAATCTGGTGAAATAATATCAGCCAATAGAATGCTGTGTTACATCTTTAGTGCATTTTCTGTATCACATTTCCAGCCAGCTCCTTGATAGCCTGTGAGGTATTGGAGGAGAGGATGTCCTCCAGAAGTTTATGCAAACGTGTCTCAGTCATGAAACTCTCTTTAAAGCTTGGGTCTGAAATTAAGAACAAAATAAGCTAAATGCTTGGGTCTAAAATGCCATATAAAAGTTCATTAACTTCTGAAGTTGATTAGACATTAATGTTAGATTAACTTTTTAGTTTAATGTCTTAAATGAAATTTGTCACAGAACAACAATTATGTCATGAATTTCGTAGAAAAAATTATTAATTAAAATAAGGAAAAGATAGTTTTGGTTGAAATTCATGAAACAGGAGGTGTTCAGAAATTCCAGGTGAGCTAATTAAATGAAATTCTGTCATTTTTAACCATCTGTTGTCTGTTCTTAGCTAGGCCCTATGCTATCTTTTCTGTAGCATTAACAAATGAAATCAAATAACTCACTGTTAAGCAGCTGTTGTAAAGTCCACAGGGCAATGTGAACAAAACTGGGCTCAGGATTCCCAAGGAATTTGTCAATGTAGAGAAGTAAACCTGGAGTATTTTTGTCTAACAGATCCTCTTCAATGTCTGGAAGGTAAGAAGATAAGGTCAGTATATGAGAAGAAAAACTCGCAGAATTAAAACCAGTTATACACATCAACCAATGGTTTTAGACGGATTACTTGCCAACCAAATCAACCAGTTTCAGATGGAATACTTCTCAACTAAGGCAAGGGATAAGTTTACATGGAGTACTTACCAACTAAGGCAAGGGATAATATTACATGGAGTACTTACCAACTAAGGCAAGGGATAATATTACATGGAGTACTTACCAACTAAGGCAAGGGATAATATTACATGGAGTACTTACCAACTAAGGCAAGGGATAATTTTACATGGAGTACTTACCAACTAAGGCAAGGGATAATATTACATGGAGTACTTACCAACTAAGGCAAGGGCTAAGTTTACATGGAGTACTTACCAACTAAGGCAAGGGATAATATTACATGGAGTACTTACCAACTAAGGCAAGGGATAATTTTACATGGAGTACTTACCAACTAAGGCAATCTGCCCTATAGTTCCTGCACAATTGTACTGCACTTCAGAGTTTCTTGACAGAGAAGCTAGGGAGACCAGCTTGCTGAACACTTTACCGTCCTGAATCTCAAGAAGTCGCTGTTTTGTGTCATCTGTAAAAATAAACACAGTCATTTACTGCTTGGTACACCTACTGGGAATAAGTGTTGAACAACAGCAAGAGAGCGATTTACGGGTTTACCTGCCCGGTGGCTGCCATTTTTGAAAATAAAGCAATATTTGCTGAAAGTTTTTTTTATCAACTATTTTGGCACTTGCAAAATTTCCCTACTGACTGCAATAAAATGTTATAGTAAAGGAATTTCTTTTAATTTTTTGTTAAATGAAAAAAAACCTTTGTTCTCAGTATAAATGATGTGAAATGTCTTATTTTTATAAAGACTAAAAACACATTCAACTGGTTGGTGGTCAGTAAAACTGAAAATCAGTAGGGAAGAATAAAATAATACAACCTTCAGTTTTCATTTTTTTTTGGGTTGACATCAAAAACTAGTAACTACGAATTTCATCATGAATTTTAAAATTTTTGATTTCAGAAAAAAACACTTGTTGGCTGGTTGCCTGTAAAACTGAACATTTAAAGTAGGTGGCCTAATTGTGAGCTTGGAACAAACAGAAACAACTCTGGTCTGTTCCAAACAAGGACAAAGAATGTTGCTACTGCTCATGATGATGATGATATTGATGATGATAAAGTTGATGATGATGATGTTAATAACGATTATAATAATGATGATCATGGCCTAACTGCTCTGTGAACTCACCTTCATCAGCCAGCACAGCTAATGCTGCGGACACCTCACTCTGTACAGGGACTGGAGTGATAGGGGTGAGCAACACCTCCGCCAGGGCATCTACACAGCCACACGATGCTAATACCTAGAATAGACGAATACAGCAGTGGGGTAAGATTTGTGGTTGACCTACGAATCAGCAGTCAAAATTGGTTCATTGCAAAGAGCATGTACATGTATGCATGCACAGGCACACACCCACAAACACACGATAAAAATTTTATGTTTAATGCTTCTGTTTAACAGAAATATGACGTACAGTTAAGAGGCTTCCAGGCAACAGAATCGCAACCAATAGACTTACAAGCTATAGGCCAACAGGTAATAGGCACACAAGTGATAGGATCCAGTGAGATTGGCACATATTAAATAGGCCCACTTTAAATTTGTATATCACACATTGATGATCCCCCAAAATTTTCCAACAATTAAACCCTGCATTCCTCACCCTAATATGGTCCCCTGCTGCAAGATTTCTGATTGTCCCGGCGGCGTGGCGTTGTGCTTCAGAATTATCCATCTGTGCCACAACCCTACTGAGATCTGGCAGAAAATCTTGCGATATAATAGGAATCTCATTGGCCTTGTGTATGGACAAATTGCGCAGACAGGCAATGGCGGCGGTGAGGATGTCTCCCGTTCCACTTTTGATCATCTTATGCAGGACGCCTAGTCCTCCAAGACGAACTATGAGCAGCTGATTGTCTGCGTCCGAGGCGAGATTTCTCAGTGCTAGACATGCTTGGCACTGTACCTAAGGAAAAAGAAGAATAATTATGAGATATCTCTATCTTCCCCATAGTTTTCCCAAGAGAATTTTATGGTTATACTTTGCCACTAATCAGTAGGTTTTGTTTTCCCAAAACAATGTTTTGTGTATGATTTTAAATATTTGATTAGAAATTTCCAATTAGTAGATAAGGTTCAAGACAGAAAGTTATCTCAAGTTTGTAGTTTTTTATTATTATGCTCTTTAAAATACAACATATTTAGAATAAGTGTACTTTACAACTACTCATATTAAAAAAAAACTTACTTAACACACACATTTCCAAATTCTAAGATATTAATATTTTTAACTAAATCCTTTAATTTAGAAACACTATTAAAAACAACTCACCCTAACCACAGGAGAGGAAACCAGACTAATCAGCTGTACCATGACATCATAGTAACCCACGGCAACCATCATGGCTCGATGTTTCTCATTGACGGCCATATTACTGAGAGCCGCAGCGCAGTAGTATTGAATATCTGGGTCGCGAGATTGCAGAACATCAACTAGGATAGGCATTGCCCCTTTGGATACCAGTTCATTTCTAATAGATTCTGGAATTAAAATCACACTAATTATTTTTCAAATCTCATAAAATGGGCACACCATTATCATTTGAATTACACCCCTTTTTTTAGTTCTTAATTACTAGTTTTATCACTACAAAAGTAATTTACTAGTCTCCATCTCCATAACCAGAGACTTGAACAGAAACGTAACAGACTAAAAGACTGTAACTTTCTCAGCAGTTTTGTATTGGGCCTACCCTCATCTGGTGATTTAGACAACGCTTTAAACTTATTTGCTTATATAAAGGTCTTATGCTCATTGTGGGCCATAAAAACCAAACAGATGTCTAAAGTTCTTTTAAAAAACAGGGAGGTCTGTCCTACTGCTTTCCACGTACGTAAATGTGTAAGATTGAGTATGGCTCCTGCTGCATTTCTCTGCACGCGAATGTCAGCGCTCTTGGCCAGTCTGAGTAATGGTTTAATGGCGCCAGACTTGGCGATGGTCAGTTTGTTGTTGTCTGAAGTGGCAAGAGTAGTGATACAGCCACATGTGTTGCACTGAACTTCAAAATTTTTTGTTTCCAGGAGGCGAACCAATGCCCTGATGGCGCCACTGGTCAGGATCGTGGTCTTGTTGGACTCTAGAAAGAGAAAGCGTAAAAACTGATGAAAATGGCCGACCACAATTTGCATGCCAAATCTTATTGATGCTGTTACTGAACTGTTATAAGATGTGACAAAGTTGGTGTCAAGACCTCTTGTGGAAGACTTCTGGTCTCTGATGATGTAAGTGATACAGTATTCAGGAGGTCTGGCAATGATGTGTCTTCATAGTGACATTAACAGTCCACAAAATAAACCAAGAAAATGTGAATGTTTGTGAGAGAATTAGAGATGGATTGCATGGACACAGATTAAGATCGATCCACCTGGATCGACCTAACTCCCTGGGGGTTCACACTATATTGCTGTCAGCCGAGCACGTGCGGAAGTTAATTTCCCCCTTACAGCTTTTAGTAGGCAGGACAGACATTTAAGCCGGCTAAGCTGACAGTAATCTAGTGAGACTCCCCACAGGGATAGATTGATCTAAAATCTGTGGGAATGCAGTCATAGAGACAGAGAGATGAAAGTGAGACACCAGAGAGAGAGAGAGAGAGAGAGACCATTT